GGGGAGGAGGAGGAGGGGTGGAGGAACCAGGCAGCAGCAGCAGCAGGACCTCATTGGTAATGCAAAACTTTAATACACGCGCCTGAAGAGGCTTGACGTGCAGAGGTGTAATGTCAGCTATCGATTGATCGGCGGTCGGGTGTCTCGGTGTCAGGCCTCATTGACATTCTCTCATCTTACGATGGAGGGAACTTGTTATATCTGTTTACGGCCACATGAATATTCCAGGAATTCCTCGTCCCAGCAGCGGCGGCTCGCTCTTCGTCTCCCCTCATTTTTCTGGGAAGGCATCGTAACGGATCTTTCAGCCACGTGTGAGCCACAGCCTGGGCTGTTGCCTGTAAGTGCAAAGGCAATTGATCACCCTCCTGTCCCCCCTCCTCCCCCTCTGCGACACCTCAATCATTTCCCACTCTGCAACTTGTGAAGCATCCTCTCAGACTGAAATACGTGGACGTCCATGCCCACGGTTGGTAATAGAAGACTTACTTTGAGAATGTCCCTCGTGAGCAGCAATATTTATTTAAAATTTTCACATCTCCTTTATCGCAGCTCTTCAAACTTATCTTTTGACCTGGAGGTGGACCCCAACACCTTGAGGGCCACTGGCATTTGTTTTTAGGATGTGATTTCTAAATAACAATCTTAATCCCTCTCTGAAAATCAATTAAGATCTTTCTTTGCCACCCAAACCTGCCGCTCGGTTCCATCCTCTCCTCTTTCCTCCTTTTTACTTCCTCCCCACCTCTCTCTCCCTCTCTTCCCCCAAACGCGGACCCACAGTTTATCACATCACGTATCACACCTCCAAAACTTGCTCCTCATGCATGCATGCACGCCTGCACACGGCACATATGTATTTTCTCAAAACAAAATCCCAAACACCCGGAGCGAGTGTGTGTTGTTAGGTGACAAGTCAGCGCCACCTCCCCTCCCCTACATCCCCCTTGTTGTACAAAAATAAAAATACACAGTGAGGTGGCGGGGAGCGTCTAAACCCCCCGGTCCATCGCTCACAGCAGGGGTTATTGATTGTGACGTGCGCTCGCAGTGCACCTTCCCAGTCGCCTGTCAGCCAGATGCATGCTGGCAGGTCCGCCCCCCCCCCCACCCCTCCGCCCTTGACAGCTCTTGCACGGCAGGGAGGTTGTAGGGGTAGCGATGCTGTTGGAGGGGTGGGGGGGATGGAGAAGGGAGGCGTTTGTCAGACAGAGGGAAAAAGACAGCTGGTGGGGCTTTGGCCCTGGATTTCTGCCCTCTCTGCTCTCCACGGGCCCTACAGAAGGTGAACCTCGACCCCTCGACCCTCCTCGACCCCGCTCTTGTTTGCGCCGTTGTCAGTGTTGCTACAAGGTGAGAGTAGCTGCCTGCATGGGTTAGCCTCCGTTTGAGGATACCCAGGTCTGTCACAGTGGATCTTTTCTGGTTTTTCACCCTGAAAAAGCCCCTTAGGATAGTGATGAACCGTTTCAGTCTGTGCTCCACATTACTGTCGCTTTTCTCCGCCACGTTTAATACGACAAACCATCCCCTTCCTCCTCCTCTCACTGAAACACCCAACCAACCCCCCACCTGCGCAGCTTGTTTAACGCCAGTGTTTCCAGAAGGTGCATCCCGTGCACACGCGGCGGCTGAGACAGGTAATGAGTTAGCTCGGGGGAGGCCGACATGACTGCACACGTGCGAGAGTGTGAAATTACCTGACACAGCTTTCATCGACACAAGGTGCTTCCGCCGTCTGTGTGTTCGCAGCCGTGGGATTTGTACACACATGTTCACACAGAGAGAGAAGGAGGAGGGAAGGAGGTGGGAGAATAACATATGCCATTTGCTGAACACTTTAGTCCAAACCACCTAATGGCACTGTGAGTGTACGATGAGACTCTTTTGGCAGCGTGAAAAAGCCCCTGTTTACCCTCTGTGTCTAATGATAGCTACAGGGTTTGGGATATTTATTTATTAAGGTATTCCCTTTTTAAAATCTTTTTAAATATCAATTAGACTGCAATAAATCTAATCTTTTAAAAGTTTTTCAGTTGGTCTCGAGGCATGAACATGTAACAAGTGAATGCAGCAGTGAAAATGTAAGGGAGCAAAATCTGATTCCCCTCTGTGAGGAGGCTACATCGCCCTGATCGGCTGAAGGTTTCACTGACATGCATTTTTTAGAAATGAGCAAGGACTCAAGTGGCATATCTGAGGAAATGAGAAATATAGCTTTTTATTTTGTTTTAATTTTTGACTCTGCAGGAGGAAAGTGTGCAACTTGACTTTTTTGACTCCTCCCCTGCAGCCGCTGGAAGATTACTTTGAACTGTAAAGTCAGCAGTAGTCAGACCAAGTCCATCTTGAATGCACCTGAGTGGTGTGATGAGACATCCAGAGCATTGCAGTCCTAGATGTAATGGACTGTGAATAAATATTATATTGAAATAGAAACAATATATATAAATAATCCAATATAATGTGAAATGCTCTTTTTTTTATACTTTGGACATAATTTGTGTTTAGTTATCTGCATTTCACAGTTAAAAGCTCTTTTCACTAAATTAGTATATCTTTTCCAAGCAGCACTGTATCATATGTTGTTAAATCCCATCTGTAGTATCAAAGTGCTTAACAGAAACGTGAAGAAGCTGCAGTGGACTGTGATTAATAACCAGCACGGGCTGGGACAACCCTGAAATACTAAATGGATCATAAGCAATAATCACCCCAGGGTTGCAGACAATAACACCCCCACCACCAGTATCTCCATCCATTCGTCTCGGAAAAGGAAATTACTAAATCCAATACAGTTCGATAAAAATCTGTCCTGTCTGGATCGGCTGCTGGAGGATAATGCTGCCTGATAAAGGCACTCGTTTCCGGCTGCACGCCATCCGTCATCCGGGGGTTGCTCCCCTGGTCAAGCTGTCTGCTACTCCAATAGATGACTGCAGCAGTTCTGCTGCTCACTCCGCTGTCTGGTGGCCTGAACAACAGTGGTTGCAAAGCTATTTTTTTGTAAAAGACCAGTCTGTATTGTACAAACTTTATGAATTATTCGCCTTTTACAACTCAGTCCAGGCCAGGATCATAATGCTAACCAGGTTCACTGCAGGAGTCCGAACTGAAACTTTATGTTTCTCCCTTGCATCATGATTTGTTCCATTTTGTCTCCAATTTGCTAGAATGAACTGTATGTGGTTGTACTGCGACCTCTGACCTTTCGGATCCTACTACTGATTTTTTGTACAATTTCCAGAAATGGGAGCATATTTCATTGTTGCAGCAGTTGTAAGTGGCTCTGTATGGGGGCTTCAGCTGAATAATTGAGATATAATCAAATACACTGTTTGTCCGGCAGTCTGACCTCCAGCTCCTGTGTGAGCACATACACAAATATTGGGGACAGAAGGGATGTACGCTCTCAAAATTACCGTTTAAGAAGGGTTGTGAAAACCTCTTAACATCTTAAGTTTCTGAAGTCATTGCTGAATCTACGAAACTCTGTGTTGGAAGTATTATTGAGGCTTAACTGAGTTCTTGTTTTTACAAAATACCTGTAAATGTTGACACCCTTTTGTTTTAGAGTCTTGAAAAATCTAAAGGGCTATGAAGTTGCACAAGGACTCAGAGAGTAGAAATAGGACACAGATGAATACTAATTATTACAATGCAGATTTCCTTAACAACTCTTTCCATGTGGCCTGAGGGAGAACATGATGTCGCCTTTTACTTAAGGTGCTGCCTGCTCTGTGCACGACCTGATGTTAAAGAGGGATGAATGTAGCCGTGGTTAATGAGCAAAGAGAAGCAGAGCTCATGAAAAGGTGTAAATATTAGGACTCAGAGACCAAAGGGAAATGCAGGGTTATTAGCAAAGCATGGTTTCACTGTGTAAAAATGAAATAGTGAAGGAACATGGGAAAGGTTGGAAGTGTAAAGCTAAACAACGGTTGAGTCAGTAAATTAAATGATTTAGTCTTAGACAATGACCCCACTTTTCTGTTTCATAAAAATGTCACCTATGGTATTTTGGATGACATTAGAACCTATTACTTTTTTATCACATTTCGGATGACATGCTAACCTATGTTTTTTTTACGTTGTGTCTTCAGGTCACAGAGCTGAACCAGGTGAGGTGCAGTGAGGATGAGAAGAATAGAAATGTGTCTGACCATCACATTTCTCGTACATTTCATTCTGTATAATGATGTTTTTATGAATTGTATGATGTACTAGGATTTTCACCCTATGTCAATACACACAAAGTGTCTGTGTGCGTTGAGAGGAGGACCTGAAGTCATGGAAGGAAAGAAAAAAGGAAGGAAGGTTTGTCTTCCAAAATTCTACAACCCGATAATTCCAGAAGCCAGAAAAGCCCGTGACTTCATGACAGTTCAGTCCCCTAAATCTCACTGTGATTGTGTTGACACTGTTGACAATTTGTATGCAAGTGAATGAAAGTTTTATGCCTTAAAATACAAGATAAAAAAGTTCAATGCTTTGCTCTTTCGMTCTTCTTTATTTTGTGCAATTCCACACTGTGTCAGTGTTGTCACATATAAATTATGACATTTATTGATTSATTGATTCATTGATGTGGGAAACCAAAGACAAACTACATTATTTTCGTGCCATTTTAGACGTTACACTATGCTATAATATTTATATGATTAATTGGACCATGATCTTTTTATGATGCTAGTCATAAATATATGTCTGCCTTCATTACTACATCATTACTACTGTTACTGCTATTACTACTATTAGAATATTAGGCTTTATTGTTATTATTTCTGTCCATCTATCGATCTATCTATAGTCTATATTATTCACATTGTAAAGTGTTTATAAGATATTGTTTGTAACTAAATATGATTTCAATTGTACATAAGAGTTGTTTTAAAAGATATGTATCTTTATTTATTTATTCTGTGATAAATGAATTTTATTTCTTATATAAACGGTGTTTGGACTTCCGCTCGTCTTGGCTCCTGGCGGACGTACTGAGGTATGCGTGCTGCGTCATTTCCGGTTCCACTTCCTGGTCTGAATTGTTTGTGTCTGGACTCCGGCGGCTGCTCGCGTCTCCTCCGCAGACTGAACTTTACCGTCCTGCTGATCCTCTGAGGTGGGTTTCGAACCATATTCACTGTGTCGCTGTTGTTCACATTGTGTTTGTCCCTCTGTCACTGATTCACGGTGTTGACACGCGGTGTGTGGTGTTAGCTGAGCAGCTTAGCTTTAGCGGTTAGCGCTAGCTTCTCCGCGCGGGACACGCCCCCCTTTAGTAAACACGGTGCGTTTATTAAATCCAATAAAATTCTCTGTTTGAACAAAGACTGAAGATTGAATGTCACTTATTATGAATCTGCTACTTTTCGCCACAGCATCAATAACTTGCTCATATTTCATATTGTTTGAAAAGATCCTCAAGAGGCGACGATTGTGAAGTGAAATATGTTTATCACCTCTTTTATTTATATTAATATTTAACAGGAGCAAGTTATAGATGCCTTAATGTAAAAGTACCTGACTTTCCCTTTGTTTTCTCGAACTTTCTACAGTAAAACTATTTGAAACAAGTACAAGTACAGATAACAGTCCTGGTTCAAGCCACATTTTTCATGTCCTTCTTATACTGTTACTTCTCAGTGTAGGTGGATTAAACTCTCTGACATGTGAAGGTCCAGTGTGTAAGATTCAGGTGAAAGGGAACAATTGGTAGAGATTACATGTAGAATAATCCTCATGATGTTTTCACTAGTTCATGTCATCTAAATTGTATGAATTGTAGTTTTATTTACCTTTGAAAAGGCTCTTTATATTTAAATACATCATATTTACATTGGGGGGGTCCTCTCTACGGAGGCTGCCATGTTTGTAACATTGGTCCAGACTGAACAAACTAAACACCTGTTGAGTTGTTATGACAACTGAAGCTGCCACAGGTTCTTTTTCATGTTTGGAAGGGGAGGGTGAGGTGAGGGGTGTTCAGCTGCAACATCAACACTAGATATCACTAACTTCTACACACTGTACCTTATATATATTTTAAGGATATTATAAAATGGTTTAACTGTGATATCTTTATTCTGAACAAGCGAAAGTAAAAGTTCTTCTTCACCTCTTGAGTGTTTTCTTTTTAATGCTAATAAATATAAGTAAGTAATCAGTGCTGTATTGTTAAAACAAATGTTTCATGTTATTGTATTTGTTAATGTCTTGAGTGGAAATCAATCAGTCTCCAAAGTGTTGCTCACTGTGGGAATCACTGTGGGAATCGTTGGGTTTCTCTATAGTTTCTAAGGTGTCAACCTTCTATGTAAAGCTCCTTGAGATAATGTATGTTGTGATTTGGAGCAAAACAAATTGAATGGAATAGAAATGTCAACCTCTCTGATGTAGACGAAGTGAAACGCTGTGACATCTCACTCAATTCCTCCTGTGTCTTTTTGATTTGTATTTCACAGGAATTAATTCAATGTGAACATCAGCGTGTTTAGAATGCATGCGTCAATTTATTCATCAATATCTTTAGCATCACTTGACACATGTTGGCAGTTTAAAAAAGACACAGGAGTCGTTCACCAGACCTCAGGATGTGTTTTATTTTTATTTGCCAATGAAAAACACTGTATATGTAAGTTTTCATTCACTGTATCTAAATAAATGATGTGTTGTGTCCTGCAGACGCAGAAAAGACAGCACCGTCACTGGAGGTGAAGGACGTCTCCATTGTCCTCGACACCGCAGAGAAAATATCCAGAAGATGGACGGAGCTGCTGCGGCTTCAACAGGCCTATCATCAACTTAATCCAAGATTAGAGATGACAGACATGAGTGATTGTCCATGTGAATGGATAATACGGTCCATTCTTATTGTAGAGAGATCCTATTGTTCATTAAATAAGATTTTACTGTGAGTTCAATTTTTAAACTTAGATCTGTTCCAGAGTGGAGGTTCTTCTCTCAGAAACTATGTCTGCCAAGTGTCTGAATGAAAAGAAGTAATTTTCCATCTTCTTGTTCCCCAGCACTTTGGTTTTGAAGCGGGCTGATGAACTGAGACTGCTGTTTTGGCTGAAACACAGGTAATAACGCTCTGCATGTGTTACAGCAGCAGACTGTTTGAAAAGTGAAGTGAATTAGTTTTTCTTTCCGATCACAAGGAAAAGGAGTCTCACAGAAACTGGACTGTCTAGGACTGAACACCTCACTCTGCAACTGGTTGCTGGACTTCCTGACCGGAAGACCACAGGCAGTCCGGGTCGGCAGCAACGCATCCAGCACCATCACACTGAACACAGGGGCCCCCCAAGGATGCACGCTCAGCCCCTTACTCTTCACCCTGTTGACCCACGACTGCACACCAACACACAACAGCAACCTCTTCATCAAGTTTGCGGATGACACTACTGTGACGATGAGTCACGATGCCAGCTCTCTTTGACTTTCTTCTTTTTCACTTTCTTCTCACTTCCTTTTTTGTGCTTATTATTATGTGTGGTTTGTATAATTAAATGTGTAATGTTGTTGCTGCTCCAGACGTGTCTGACTTATGTGCACCGATGTCCAAGAATGCAAACAAATCAATGCAAACAATCCAAGATAATAGAAGTACTGTCCAAGTGTCTGAGCAAGTAGCGTACTCTGCAAGAGGACTGACTGAATCTTGCAACAGTCATTTAGTTTAGATGTATGTGACCCAGGTCATAGGTTCAAACCACAATGGTGCTTGTTTAAAATCCATTCTGGAGCAATTTTGTATTTGCAACATGTCACAAATAAAAAAGACAAAGAGAACATCTGGTAGATGAAATGAGGTAGACCTCCAATAGAGATGTCGAGACACTATCGGACTTGGTACTTGAAGGTTGTCAGTTCAAATCTGACCACAGCTGATTTTGCTTATGTCCATCACCCTTTAGATTTTATGTTGAAAGGGCGAGGACTGTCCTAAAAAGACTAGTGTGGTTTTAATTGTATTTATAAAAACATCTTCCAACAGGAAATCACTCATTCAACCTTTAACAATAGAATTACAACCACAAACATATATAAACTCCACCCCCGGGAGTCGGCCTGACTTGGTATATTCCAGGTGGCTCCTCTCTTTCTCCATATATTGAATTGGACTCCACCACTTCCGGTTTGCCAGTTGTTACTTCCGCATGGGTCCGGAGCTGCTTGGACGAGCGCGTCGCGTCGATCTTCACGAGGTGAATATTGTTTTAAATGTCAACACAGTTATTAAATCGTGCAAATGTGTGTGTGTGACGTGTCGCTGCAGATTCGTAGTAGTTCACTTGTGTTTTAGAGCAACACTCGTGTCGTGTCAATGCTAAGCTAAGCTAGCACCACAAGCCAAGCACACGTGTCAGCAGTTGTTTAGTGATTGGAAGTAAAAGACAGAAACTTGTGTTTGGAGCAGAAAGAAGCTGTTTCTAAACGTTTCACCTTTTAAGCATGAAGTAGGAAAAGTGAGCGTGTTTGAAATGTTCATGTAAAACACGTGAGCCCTTCTTTTGTCCGGAGCTAAACATGCTTTACCTTTGGAAAAAGAGGATTTCAACTTAAAAGAAATAATAATGTGACTTTTATTGTGATCATCAACTGATGTGAATAGCTTTTCATCGATGAGGTTAATGCGTTTGTAATT